CAAGGAACTAGCAAAATCGCACAATGCCCCTCCCAAGTGGAACAGCGCCGAATTGTCGTCTGAACTTCTGTGAAAAGTTACACTTTCAGATGCCACCCAAATTCGTTGTGCCACTACCAGGCAAGCTTGACGATGCGGCCGAGGGTACACCGATCCACCTTGAATGTGAAGTAATTCCGACCAACGACAATAAGCTTACTGTTCAGTGGTAAGTACGATCCTATCAGTTTCACACTCTAAATATTCATCCCGTGATAGGAGCCCTCGGGTGGAGATATCAGCGCAACGTGCGTCCTGACAGCCCTCAAGTTCTTAGTGTGTGCTCCTGGTCATCTTGGGTGATCCTTTACGGAATGCTTTTGAACGGCAGGAGGTCGAAGTTCCAATGGAATCAGCAAGCATACGGGATTATCACCTCTTCCACTCAGGCACGATGACTCGCTCCAAAATAGTAGCTGAGGAGAAAATGATGAAAAAGCGAAGTTGGAACGGCCAAAAAGCCTTTGTCCTGCACCGCATTGGACGAGCATTTTCGGACGAGTTTCCCGTTGACAGAGTACCAACAACCGCTCTGATAGATACGGCTTCACGTACCACATAGCAAATCTTCATGTCGATTCTACTTCATAAATGAAGCGATAAGAATACCAGCATCAGTGTGACTGTGCGGGCATTTGTGAGCGGGTGGTTGCAGTGGGCGTCTAGATCGGCTTGTTGTACCTTGGTTGGGCGCTACAGCGGTGCCCAATGTAAAAAAGGCGCCACGCAGCGCCTGCTAAGGGGCACATTATCCTTCCGCGCTGGGCGTATCGATCCTGTACGCCTTGCCGATTCGCCTTCAATGGCCTGACAAATTCTGATATGTAAGCGACTGGCTAAGGCTTCTCATAAAGCGTGAAGTCACTAAATGTTGGGTCGAGAAGTTTAGTGGGATACGGTCTTTTGTTTAGATACCGTACTGCAACGGTCAGACCCCGCCACACTGTGGCTCGTTTGAGGGGGGGGGGGCAGGACTCGTAATAAATCTCTGAGAAACAGGAATGCCATTGGACTGAACATTGCCATTGAAGGTTCCACAACGGTGCTCCGCTTGTGAACGGACATCGTTTCCGTACTGCTCACGACTTTGGTCACGTGGCTATGGACATTCTCTATGCCTTCGGACAAGATTCTGGTGAATGGACCTGCGTTGCAAAGAACGATCTCGGCGAGGCAACCACCTCATGCAGCTTCAACGTTCTACCCCGCAGTATTATTTATGCCGATCCACAGCATCCAGCAAGCTGGCAGAGAATTCAGGTATACTGTAATTTTGATGTTCTCACTATTTTGTCCGGAAGATATCGAAGTCGTCTGTGATTATCTTTTATTTGTACAGTTGCTTAGCCAGCTCTACTTTCAGGAATTGGAAGCACCAAAAGTCCAACCAGAAGAGGCTCCAGAGCGAGAACACGACAAACCGCAATTCCTCGAGCCGATGGAATCCTTGGTAGGTCATTGTCCAAGGCCCTTGGAAAGATCCAGAGCGCCTGGCCGGGAAGGGCGACATAAATGGCGTTCTTGTTATCCAGAAGTTCTTCTCTTTTGAAGGGGCATTATACGCAGGGCCTAGCAAGGTGGGGAGTCGTATTTGCCTTTGAGAAAAATGTTTTTGGTCATTGACTTCACAGTATTTCCTGTTTCAATTGCGCGATTGTGTATTCCCCCAGCCCTTCTTCGTCACAGTTTTTAGCGCGAAGGTGGAAAACTTCTGGGAAAAAAAACTCGGCAAAAGTGGTAGGACGTTGGAAGAACTTGGGAAAACGGTAAGTAGAATGGCGGAATGAGGGCGGTCGTACCAGAGGTGAAGGCGGTACTCTCGGGGAGGGGGGGTCGTGTTTTGCAAAGTTTCTTCCCTACGGCAGGTCATGCCCTTATTATACAACAACCGTATGAGCGGATAAGTGCGCAGAAATTCACAACCAGCGGGATTCCCTCATTGGCGCATCCCGCCTTCAAATACGGTAAATAGAAAAGGTGCGCCAGTGAAGAAATCTCAAAGGTCGTGAGTCCCAGCCCATGCGATCTATGCGATCCTTCTGCCGCAGAATGTCCTTCAGCTACTGCTCATAAGAGAAAAACCCCTAGATTTCGCACCCCAATCAACTGTTCCGTTTCTTCACCGAATCTTTTTTAGACTTTACTCAAACATCCTGTTTTTAGGAGCGTATCGAATTCCAACCAGCACACTTCGAAACTCGCCTACAGCCGGTGGCCGATCCCAACATGGTCGTCCAATGGTACAAGGATGGTTTCCCACTGCACAATGGAAACAGATTCAAGCTCACATCGGACTTCGGCTATGTCTCTTTGGATATTGCCCATACAATTCCGGAAGACTCGGGTGTCTATGGGGTGAAAGCCATCAACAAGAAGGTTCGTGGCTCGCAGAACTTTTAAATTTTCATGAGGAGCTGGGGTTCCTTCACGGTTTCCAGTTTGGCCTCTAAAACAAATGCATTTTCAGGGCGAGGCATCGGTCGAAGCGAAGCTCGCTGTCCGTGCCAACGCAGACATTCTCTCCGATCCTCAGCATGACAAGTCATGGCAGAAGATTCAGCAGCTTGAGGTACTTTTTCCTATTCTATGAAACTCTCAGATGGATGCAAGAATACGCGACAAGAGGGCAACACGCGAGGTCGCTGGAATACTGAGCATCCGCGACAACCAGTCCCGGTGGTTCCTAAAGCCTTGGGGACGGTAGAGACGCGGAAAGACGCTTGACAGTATAACTTCGGAATGGGAGGGAGTGGAAAGGATGACCCTTGGCCGCGGACGTCGCACGTCCAAACGTATGAGACGTCGCGCGGTGACCTCTCGCTACACACCTGGGTAAAAATGGCATAGGTGAGCTGGGCTTTTCTAGACGAAGTGTAGCCTCTGGAAGCTGCTTTTCTCCTTAGTTTGGGCGTCTGGCCTACTAGATCCCCTTATGAGGTCTACACCATTTCTCCGCTTTGATGCGTGAAAACGCACGTCTTTCGTGGATGGTCCGGGTCATTTTGGCGCTCTGATGCCTTTGCTGAGCAATGATATTCCTCACTTCAGGCTCCACGCGCTCCTGGAGAGGAACCACCAGAGGTGAAATTCGGACCACCAAAGTGGACTCGTCAGTTGAACAGCTGCGACGATGTCATTGAAGGCCAGCCAGCCCACTTCGAAGCTCAGTTCGAACCATACGCCCATCCACAGAC